TTGTAAAATTATCTCAAATTTATTTTGCAAAGAAAGACAAGATAACATGTTTAAACGAACAATATTTCATTCATTTTATCTTCATTATTTATTTTTTTGAAGATGAAACGACCATAAAGAAGCGAAATTGCAACTCTCGATGTTTGTGTTTATTGGATGGAAGTGAAGGTTTTTATAAGTTTGCTTTTATGAAAAAGAAGTTAAAAAAGAAGTTTTTTTTGAAAGCTCCAAAATAAGACAATTCACTTACGTACACATAAAACAGTACATTTTATGTTCATTTATGCCTTCTACTTTCATCTCTCTATTTCGCTCATTTTACTCTTTCAATCATCGCAACATATCACAATGTGAGCATAAGAAAATTGCCTTTAAACATTTACGGTACTTTGAGTTTATTGTGGTACATTCATATCGGCTTACTTTAATGTTCTCTGGCGTCTGCCTTACAAACCACATAAAACAATTTTTACATTGTGTTTTTTTTTTCAAAAAACAACATTTTTTTTAAGTTCTGTTTTGATTTTAAATTATTTATGAAGGTCCTCTAATCTCATTTTTGATCTAAATTAAATTTTAACATTTATCACCATAAAAAGAAAAATAAAATCTTAAGAAATCCATCTATAAAAGTTTTGCAAAATTTTCTCAAATAAAACAATTTATGAATAAGATTAATTAATATTTTTAGAATCCGCATCACAGAATGTTACATACTTTAGCTCAGTGTTTTTACTGCTTACCATTCAAGCCTCCATAAATTTATCTGCTTATATGGTTTCTTCGTATCATTCGGAAACGGATTGCAATTATACAATGAACAAGTGAGAGAAAAAAACGGCAAACAGAGGGAGGAGATGCTTCATGGCAACGAACGATGAGGCAAATAACCTCATTACAAGTGCACACAGGCGGCATACTTAAATAACATTTCTGTACATTTATAAGAAATGAAAACGTAAACCGGCTATTTTTAATAAACATTCTATAACACCAAAGTATTACCATCAATATTTTTGTGATGACAAATGTGTTAATTTGAAAATTTTAGCAGTGGATATTTCATTTCATTCTAGTTTTTTCCGTATTTTCTCCAAAATTCTTTTAATATTTATTCTGTAAAATTATCACTTTTAAATATTAAAAAAAATATCGCAAGTTGTTCCAAATGACCGTGAAAATTACAGTTAAGTAAGTTTCTTCATTCATGGTTACTCTAAGTGTGACTTTGCTGATTCATGGGTTTGTAAATTGATTCTTTTGAACTTTGAAGTTGTAAAGCTAAAATTTTGAGTCAACTTGAGAAATTCATTTGATTACATTTCAGACATCAAATATTTGACAAATTAAAAATCATCCGTTTGAGTGATTACTGAATAAAATTAGCATATCAAATATTGAAAGTAGCTTTAACATTTTTGGGAGTCTTAAGAATTTAATTTCTTGCGTACATATTTTGTTTAACGTTGACACGGTGTCGAAATGTCAAGAATCTACATAGAAATGTAACGAACTTGTTGCTTGAATTAAGCAAAACAGTTTATGCAAATTCAATTTCCAGCAACATCGATTGTCTCGCGTCAATTCACAAATTTAATCTCAAAAGTAAATCTTATAACTTTATTTGTCATTGTTGACAGTATTTTCTCATATCTTGCCACACTTCGCGTTCTTATTCGAACGGAATTTACATTTTTATGAATCATTTGAATATTTGTACTATAAAAAAAATTCTTGAATTGAAAAAAAATAACCGTAGGCGATTTTGAGTTACTGATCGAAGTGATCACACAGACTTATGACAATTACACTGAAGTGTTTAGTGAAAAAGTAAATAAAACTAGTAGACATAAACAGTGAGTAATTTGTAAGTTATTTAAACAAATTTTAAGCAGACTATGAGTTTAACATACCTAGTAAAATATATCTTTTTCAAGTGTGTCAATCTGACTTGTTTCTATTCATTAATCCATAGTAGGAACAATTAGCTCAAATAAGTTTTTTTACATTTAGTCAAAACATTTAAAAATTTATTAATAACATCTGTCAAAATGTCTACACAAATTGACACAATCAGTCTAATAAATTAAGCGAAACTGGAAGTATAGAAAACGAGAAATGGAAATTACTCGACCTGAACTTTGTCTACAGTAGTTAAATGAATGAAAATAATATTAATGCTAGACATTAAGCGACTGCCCACGCATGAAATGCTATTACAAATTATCATATGCCATTTTCAGACTTTGCTTTAAAGAAAAATTAAATTTGCAGCCGGCAAAATGAAATTTTTTCTCCATTCATATTTTTATTTACTGCTGTTATTTATGGAAAGTTCAGTAAGACAATGAACGATATTATTGTTTATTGACGTTGCATGAAGCCGGATATGAAGGAGAATTAAAAGAAAAAGGCAAAGCACATTTTTTAATTTAAAATTCAATTTCCCCTTTTTACCCTAAAATAAAGATTAGAATCTGGTAAGTGCCAAAATTTTTGATCGATTCTAATCAACATTTCCATATTAAAAGCAATTCTAAATCGAAAAAGAATTCGCAAATTTTCTAGGGTCTCAATTAATATTTTCATTTAAAGAAAGAAATTTTTCAAACAATAATAAAATTGTTTCAATATTTCTTAAAGCTTATCTCTAATGAACCGTAACGAAAACATTCCTCACCCCAATTTTTATATTCTAGACTTGATTCATTCATGAAAACACCTTTAACTGTAATACTGTTTATCAAGCATCGGCGTTATCAACAAGTGTTTATTTATTACAAAAGTTAAAGAGTAGGAGCAATAAAAAAATATGAAGCATAATAAATAAATAGAAAATTTGCCGTCTGATGTAGCTTGAAAACTAATAATGAATGAATTACATAATGATAATATTCATAGTGTTAGCAAATGAGGAAGTTCAGATAAAAAATTATATATGTGTGCATTGAAATTACTTTACTTATTCTTTTCTATCAATTCATTAAGCATGCAAGCATGTCGTGTAGTTTCAATGTAAATTGAGCAGTAAATATTTATTATTATGTTATTTATTTACAGACCCAATTGATCACATTCAAATGTCATTTAAACAGGTTCTAGTAGATCTTAAGTTTTTTGATTTTAATTGTGATAATGTATGTTGAAATTCGTACTAAGTTTGATAAATAGATCATAGTTACCAAATAAATTAGTCAACCAATCAAGCCTATCAGCAGAAAATTAAAATTGTATGTAGTCATTTGTTCCGTTAACTGAATAGCTTATGTTTGCCTTGCGTGGTTGACAAAATACACTGTTTTAACGAATAAGCAGTAAATATAATAACAATTTGGTTGTTACTGATTCGATTCACACTTGGAACACATTTTTCGTACATTTAATTTTTTTTTCATTTATCCAACATTGACACAACTTAATTATTTTTCACTTACATATTACTTTATAATAAAAGAACTGACAAAATTGCATTTTCATTAAACACAATTAAATTGACACATTTTTACCTTATTTTAATTCCATTAAATTTCAAGCGAAAAATTATTTTAATTATCGAAACCGACAAAATAAAAAAATAAATAATCGAACCAATGTAAAAGAATACTGACATTTTATTTTCTGTCGACCATTGATGATGACTCAATATCATATTAAGGAACAAAAACAAGTTGTTGACAGATATTTTGTTTGATTGTACGTCAATAAATTTTAAAATTACTGGGTACAATCTGATAAATATAGAGAAATAATTTGTTGTGACGTTAGCTAAGATAATTATATTGACATATTTAAAAAGAGATGTTGCGTGGATTTTTCAGGGAATTATGACACTCATCGAGGCCTATCAACGTTTTCTTCAAAGTCTCCATTTGATTCTGGTTTTAAAATTTTACTAATTCAAATGTAAACATGATAACAGCCATTCAATTAAATATCTAAGGGCTATTTTGTTTTAAAATTTTAATCGCTCCATTTGAGATTTTCATTCGACCTTTAACGAATTAATGCATATTCAATAGCTTGTGTGTTATTTTATGTCTTTTAAAATCTGTTTTTGCATTATTTATTGTGATAATAAATTTTTTAACAACATTGTAGTTACAAAATATTTTTATGGTCGCTCTTTTTATGCTTTTGTAACGATATTATATTGACATGAATGATAAATAATGCTTTATTGTTTTGCAATATAAATAAATCTTTTTGAGCATGAATGAATTGGTTTAAATTTGTGGGGTGTCATTGGAAGTATTGTTACTTTTGTATTTTTAAGGGAACCGTTGTGAAGCACTAGAGTTTAGTTCGAAAATAAGCATTTACTTTTATCATATCATAGAATTCCATACACTATAAGAATTTATAATCTTGCTGCAGCTTTCAATAAAGGGTCATAAAATGTTTCATGCAAATTTTTGCATTCTACATTTTTTTAAAAAAATAAGACGATTTACTGTGCATGGAAAATTCGTAGTACTTGTCACGTTTTACTTAAATAAAGAAATCCAATTTAAAAAATATTAAAATGTAATCAGTGTTGCATTCTGGCTATTTGTCTGGATCAGATAAATTCTGAGACAGAAATTTCTTCATAAAGATCGATTCTATATGAAGATAGAAAATCTAATCTACACAAAGATTATTTCTACATAAAGAATGTGTCTACATAAAGATTCGATGTAGATGTCTACAATTCTACATTCTTCTCTGATGTAGACCTGGAAAAAATGTAGAATTGTAGACATCTACATCGAATCTTTATGTAGACAGATTCTTTATGTAGAAATAATCTTTGTGTAGATTAGATTTTCTATCTTCATATAGAATCGATCTTTATGAAGAAAGTTTCTTAGCTAGACAAAAACTATTGAAGAATCTACATTCTTCGTCTAGTGTAGACATCTACATTTGCAACACTGAATGTAATATTAGAATTTAATTAATAAATTCTTTGTTCAACAACAGAATAACCGCAAAAATTAAGAAAATTTTTTAAAACTTACGAAATGACCGTGGATATGGTGTTGAACACCTTGTACACCACTTTGTAACTGTTGATGTTGTGTTGATAAAATTACATGACGTAGCGTTCCATTTTCATCAACAATTTGTTGCATTACATGTCCTGGTGGCACTTGAACCGGCATTGGAATAGGAGGTGATCCACTTTGTGATACCATTGGCACTGTGACTGGTCCTGCAATGAAATTAAAAAAATATTTGTAAATATTAGCATGGGTGTGTAATGCTTAAATTAATATAATAAAATTTATATCCGTAAAGAATGTGCATTAATTGTAGAAACTATGAAACGACTTATGCAATAAATTTTACTATTCAAAAGTGGCTTTTACATTCAACTCTCATTGGTATTAAATATATTACCAAACCAAGATTCAATAAATTTATATTGAAAACCTCAAGAGCAACTCATCATCACCATCGTTATTGACATATATGGAGCACTTGTGAATTGCATTCATGTCATTTATAAAAGAAAAAATGTAATCAGATCACATTCATGCATACCAAATCAGCATTTGCGACTTGAGAATGATGCAATACTCTTTTATTCAATAATATTTATCACTCAACAAATAAATAACTCAATCGAGTAAGCTACAATTTAGAGATTCAGAAGGTTATTTTTATTTAATATGGAATGAAAATCCAGAACTTTATTAAAAATAAAATTGAACGACTTATTTGAAAACATAATTATACTATTAAAAACAATTAAAAACACCGATCATAATTCAATGAATTTAAATTATAATTCAGCATTAAATGTTTAATAATAACAAAATCGTCTTGTATGTACAGTGAAATTTTCTTTAAAATGTTGAACAGTTTCAAACAATAAAAATAAATATTGCCATTAAAAGTGTAATTAATCAAACTCTTGTGCAGTTGAAAATATTTATTTTGAGGACATAACACTGCACAGCATGAAAATAATTCAACTTGTGTGAAATAAAAAACAGGAAATAAATCAAATTTAAACACAGTTGGAATTTTGATGCTCACAAAGTAAAATTTAAAATAATATAATTTCTAGGAAAAAACATCAAAGAAATAAAAATAATAATGTTAAATAATTTGAACCAAAATAGACTTTAAACTTTCTCTTTGTCTCCATTTTAAACAAACTGCAAACGTGTGTTTGAATATGATTTAAATTTTAAAGTTCACCTTCATTTCTTTTACTATTTTTGTAAACTAAAAAGATTCATTCTCATTTACCAAACTTATTATCTCAATTGTTAACATTTATCGACCATCGGCTCCAGTGATACTTATGTATTTATTTATTTATATCTAGTCACTTACTCATTTTAATTCTTTCACAATTTTGAATGAGAATCAATCGGTCTGTAAAATATACATTCGATAAATGAGAATTCAATTTGAGTTAACAAATATTAATGAAAAAGAATTTGAGGCACACATATTAAAATGTCATGAACAATTGCCGGCAATCAATTTTTTTTTTGTCTTCTTGATAGACTTTAGACTTTTAAAAGAATTTATGAATTGTCTTCATGAAAGAAAATGACGTTTGGCGAAAAATATTTATTTTTGATTCATCTATCCTTGAACTTTTATCTGAAATTCTTATTAGTTTTATGTGTGCACGAAAAGGTCATAAATTTTATAGTAAATGTTCTAAAAAATTTTGTTTAATAATTTCAAGGTTAGCAGCTAGAAAACTAATTTGAATTAATTTTTCATAATTAATTTGTGCTAATTTTAGTCTCTGCCAGTCATTTCGTAAGGAGCAAATAATTTTTTTTTATAGTTTATAGTTTAAGAGAAGCTTTTAAGCTAAGGAATTAAGTCTAGCTCAACTTTGAGGTTTTTATACAAATTTTTGCCAATCGTTTTATTTTTTAAAATATCATTGGCACTTTGAACGCTGCTATAAAAAAAAAACAATATAAAAGAAAGAGTATATAAATGTATAATGACGAGAAACCAATGATCAAAACAACGGAAAATCCCCGGCACTTAACTTACTTATTTACTTCGATGTTGTTTTCTTGGAATTTCTTTCTTCTTTATTTACTCATCAACATGTTGAGTGAGTTTTAAGCCTCTGGTAAATGTGGAGAAAGATTTGATTTGAACAAGTTAGAAAAAATATCAAACTGCATTTTTACTGCACAGAGAGAATGTTTTTTTTTCATGAACCAGTCAGTCAAAAATGATAAAATAAAGCAAACTAAAAAATTCTTTCAAAAATCTGGCATTGACCTCATTTCTTCTTATACCTTGCATTCGTTACACATCTAGCCACAAAATTGGTGTCAATAGTCGACGAGACTATGTGTGTATAACTAGTAAATAGACAATAGAATCAAATTTATTTACGGTCTCGAATAATGAAAAATAAATTTAACCATAAAACATAACAGCAACAGATTGAATTGTTCAATATAATGTTTCTGTTTCTGATGGTACTGGCAATGATTAAAAAATTCATTTAATTTATTTTCAATATGTTGAATTTGAAATGAGCGTAAAATTGTGCATTGAAAAAATTTGGGGTACTGAAATGATTTTCTCAACTTTATCTTTTTGTGCTGTACATCAGAAAACTTGAAAGTTTTAAGATTCTTAAAATTCAAAATTAACAATTATGCAACATTGTATTGTTAATAATCTTCTTTAAGTATGTCTGCATTTCATCTTGAATTTTGATTTCCCATCACTACTTTCATTTTATCTTTATTTCAATCATTTATTTTCTTAAGTGTTTGTTCTGCACAGAATGAAAAAATGAGATTTTTTTTGAAAGTCACATGAAGCGATGACGATTTTCTTATGTCTTGATGTGTAGCTTTCTTCTGTTGATTCACAAAATCGCGAGAGTGTAAAAAAGAGAAAAATCAAGTTCAACAACCTCAAATGTGTAAGCAAAATATTATTTTTAACAGTGGAAGTGGCAAAAATCAAACAAAAAAATCGGTTGAAATCACGACTATAGACAAACTGGAAAAAATAATTAATTTTGCTTCATCAAACAGCAAATCGCATGAGCGACACTAATTTTGATGACAAATATCGACCTTCGCCTCCCCTTTAATCTCATTTTCCAAAAAAATATATATAGATAAATAACATTATTAGTTGACGTCAATGGCAAAACGAGCAGAAGATTTTTCTCACCAGTTGAATGCAAATTACTATTAATATTGTTTGAATTTTATTTTTAGACGTTAATTTTTATGGTCTTATGTTATTTATTTTCGCAACATTCTTAATAAGCGAATCATTTTGAATTGTTTTTGGCATTTGATTAGTTAATAGCTTTTTTATTTTGATTTATGATTCATTGACGATTAGATTTAATAAATTATAAATTATTTCACGCATGAGAATTCCAACTTTGGGGATCTTTTCGAAACTAACGTGTATATCTAATGTTGTTTTCTTTAAAACATTTAATTTCACATCTAATACACTATCAAGATATTTTCACTGACGCCCTTAAACGAGATACCCCGCGCTTACCAATATATTAACATCTGATACTGTACTTTGCCCGTGTTTTGTATAAAGAGTAAGAAAACTTTAAACAAGAGTAGAGGAAATCTTGTTCATCGAAGATTTGTCTCATATATAATCACAAAAAAAAAACAATAAAAATAACTTTATTGCCTTTCTTTTCTCACTTTTTGGCTATAAAATCGATGAAATCATATTTCATTCTCATCATTATTGCTGTTGTAATTTTGTATTGTATAGTGACTTTGATGACCTTGGACATCTTCTTGATCGTACTTTTTTTCTGAATCAAAGTACGAACACTGAGAGGAAAAGAAACTTCCAAAGGTAACAATTGATGTGATGGCACTTAAGATTATTAAAAATTATTCTCTCAAGAGAGCAAAAAAAGATGCTGTGCATGAACCTTTGGCCTTTCTACCAACAAAAACAGCAAAAAATTAAGAAAAAATTCCAAAAGGAAAAAAAAACAGCAGCAAATGGAATTCTACCTAGTTGAACTGATGAGCGTTGGTTGTAATGTACAGTTAAATATTTTTCCATGAAAATTCATTCATTCACATGGCGTATATAAAGATGTTATATATGTTGTGAGCTGTTTCTAATTCATTATTATTTTTGTTGCTTTTGTTTTTCTCTTTTTTTGCTTATTATAATTTCATAACAACAAGTTTTCCATCTCCATTCACCATGTAGTGTGCAAAAATAAAACTATGCGAAACATTGAGAGAAAAAAGAGGTTAGAAGAAGACAACAAAACAACAGCAGTAAAATGATATATCTACTAGAATTGCTAGCATGCAGCTAATTAGATCCACTTAGAAATTATTTCAACTCTTTCCTTTGAACATCTTAAAGTATGTAAGAAACAAGTAGAATAGGCACTAGCATTTAGAACTTGAAGTCGAGCCGCTTTGAGCTGAGTTGATTTGAACACAATTTAAAATTCTGCCACAAATTCTATCATGTGTTACGATTCGAAGATTTAATGAATTTTGGGAAATTCGGGGAAGCCCAAATATTTTATTTTATTTAAATTCTGTAGAGAAATTTACATATGTCTATGTGACAAAACGCAAATACTCATATAAGTATACCTGCTTATGCTCACGCTTTATTTTTATATTAAATATTTACACCCATGAAAATTCACTATGTACATTCTACATCTGAATGATCTTCTTGTTTTTGCACACACGCTTTTGCGTATTTTTTGTTTATTGACCTCTTTACGTTCTCTATTTCATTCCCTCATAAATATTTTTCTCTCTCGCACAATCATTTTCTAGCGAAAAAAAAACTTTTAGGAACAACAGACTTTGTTCATGTTAATAATTTATTAAATGGTAATTATAATTTCCAATTAAACTTGATTTTCAATTTCATTAGATTTTTTTCTTTTTTTGAATATAAAAAAGTAAAAAGAATAATTTGCATGAAATCTGATTTCTAGCTTCCATAAATTTGTTCTGCATATTTTTGATTTTTTTTTTCTTATCCATGACTGTATAGCTTTTATAAAAACTTATATAAATTGGATTGTAATAAAATTCTGCCTGGTTTTAGATTCATAATGTTTGTGATTTTGCATTTTAAAACAAATATATTTAATTTTGTACAAATATACGTTTTTTTAAAAGTTTATAAGTAACATTACTTAAAGTAATGTTTAAATATTTTAAAAATTAT